TTGTAAAAGTTCCATGTTTCAGGTGGGAGTCATTGTTCATACATCGATTATATCCCAATCCCCACACAAAGCTGGCCTGAATGGGTGAGTGTCAAAAAAGAAAACATTACTGAAAAATGAATCATTTTAAATTTCATATGGAGGTTATGACAACACATGTAAATGATACTGCAAACATATAGGAAAAGGTTTTGTGGTCAGACAAGACAAAAATTTAGCTTTTTGGTTTAAATTCAAAGCATTATGTCTGGGCAAGCCCAACACAGCACATCACCTAGTCAACATCATCCCAACTGCCAAGCATGGTGTTGGCAACATCATGTCATGGGGATGTTTCTAATCAGCAGGGACTTAAAAGCTTGTCAGGATTGAGGGGAAGATGGTTGGTGCAAAGTACAGGTGAATACTACAGGAAAACCTGCTTGAGTAAGCTAAGAATCTAAAACTGGGTTGAAAAAATTCACATAACAGCAGGACAATGACACAAAGCACAAGGCCAAAGCCACACGGGAATGGCTTCAAAAGAAGAAAGTGAATGTCCTGGAGTGGCCCAGTCAAAGTACTGACTTGAATCCAATGAAAAATTTATGGTGAGATTTGAATATTGCAGTCCATCAATGATCCCAAGAAACGTGTCAGAAGTGGAGCAATTTTACCAGGAAAAATGGGCAAAAATTATGCCATCCAACTGTGCAAAGGCAGAAGAGACCTATCCAAAAAGTAATTGCTGCTAAAGGTGCTTCCAACAAATGTTGACATAGTGGGTTGAATACTTATGGAATCAGCAAATTTCAATTTATACATTTTCTTTGCAGATCTTGCTGACATTCAATCTCCTTCACACATAACACTGTTAAGTTTGATCATTAGGGTTTTGAATAAAAACAAGTTCATTAAAAAAAAAGTTTACATTATTTGTATTTCCACAAAATATGATATTATTGGTAGGGATGAGTACTTTTGCACGACACTGTAAATATTACAGCTTTTAGACATGGAGTCAAAATAGGGATTTGTAGCTTGAGGAAATAAGGTCAACATTATGTCTCAAATTCCATGTCTAAAAGCTGTAATATTTAGTTAGTGTATGATGCTCTCTCTCTTGGGAAACAATGAAACCTTTGGATTGGCTTTCATGCACTGGACAGCTATTGCTCCTGATACCATTGCCACAATATTATCTTTGGTAGTGGTACTGCATGTATGATCAATATACCACATGTTATGCATATGCTTGTAAATTATATATAGCTACTATATTTATAACCTGCAGCTTTATGAAGGGTCTGTAAACACTGGATTGGAGGGACCACTGAACTATACTGGAATGGTTCATGGACTGGATTTCATAACTGCACTAGTTTTAAACAGGCACGCATGTTGGCTAATATTTATATCTATCTATCTATATATATATATACACACACACATTTTTTTTGAAGATGTAAAGCTGTATATGTAGATGGTCATATTAATTTTTTCAAGATGCATGCAAATATAAGACAATGTGTCATAATATAATAGCATATGTATACAAATAAGCATTTTCAATATTTCCCCCTTCCTCTTCTCAGCTGGCCATAGTAAGGCCGGTCATGGTTTTGCTGAAGCTGGCCAGACTTCCTTTTAGAGTGATATTCGGCACACACTACAAAATCAAAAATGTGTTAACAATTATGAATTGATTATATTAATACCTCCCCCCCTCCATTTCTGATGGAGTTTATCATTACACTTCTACAACACTCTTCCACTGTGATGACCCTAAACTCTGGTAGGCTGCATATTTTATCTGAAACTAAATATTTTCTAAATAAAATATATAAGTACAAAAGTTCTGCCTCACTTTCACCTAGAATCTCCATCTCCTGCTTATACGATTCTTGCCACTCCTTATAGTCAGCTTCAAGGATGGCTACTCTATCTGCAGTATCTATAAAATTTGCACTCACACATTGTTGGCTATAATTTGACACTTACCATCCATGATCATCGTGATTGCTGATCCAATGCTTGAAACTGCTATCTTTTAAACAGCTTAATTTCTGTTGAAGATACAGCCTAGACATTTCTATAATGTCTTAGAGATATGTGTAACATCACTGAAATTGATCATGCAGTGGTAAAAAATAAAAAGTGATCCTGTCATCAGCATTGTATTCGATAGGATACGAACCCTCTACATTAACATGTGATACATAAAATCAATACAGTTGCGACAATAAGTTAATAATCATTATGGTACATGTGCTATGCCTGCCATATAAACATTAAATTACATCCATGGTCTGCATGCAGCTATATATGTATGTATGTAAATTAGATTATGAGGCTCCATATAAACCACAGACTACATTAAAACAATTGGGTGTAAAAGGTTATACAGCTGCTGTTATTTGCTAGGTAGTCAAATAAACTTAAAAACCACCCTACACAATTATGCATTTAGTAATATTGCCCAGGTTATATTACAATACTCACAACTATTTTTGCTGTAGGCTAGTGGAACAATATTAAATAATAATAATAAAAAAAAACAAATGGGCGACCCCTATTATGAACCACTACCATGATTCATGATTATATATGATGCAATTTGAATGACTGTGGTAAATTAAATTTTTTCTTCCTTGGGTAGGAATTGAACCTGAGGCTCTTAGAATGCCAGAGGTGTGCTTTACCAACTGAGATAAAGGGTTAGCCCATAAATATTTGTTGGCAAAGCATTCTTTTTTAACAACTGAAACTACCACAAGACTTCTGTAAATTTTGTCAACTTCAAGTTATACATTTTTGCAACAAATGTGCACCATTTGTACATGAACAGTTTCATGTTATTTCAATTTTATACATCCATACTTTTTATTTATACGTACACAACATGCACATGAAATAAAATGTTCAAAATTGAGGATTTCCTTTGTTATTTGGTTTACATAAATAGCCTGGTTTATCAGGAGAATTTGATTGTAATTAAGCACAAAGTCTCACAATAGGCTATCTGTGCTCTGCCCACCACAGGTATCAAAACCCAGTTTCTAGAGTTGTAAGTCTGCAGACATACCGCTGTGCCATTGGGAGGGGGGTCTTATCAGGAGAAATTGAGAATAGTTGTAGTTTATACTAGTGTTTTGCAAAAATTAACCAAAATAACTATGTGAAATACAACTGCTTATAAAATTTGATCAGTATCATTTTATGGTTTTAAATACAACCATGGTTTACCTCAAACTTTCAATGAACTGGTTTTAATAAAATGATAAAAAATATTTTGGTGTTTATGCTTGAATTAAATGATGAGGTAAAGTCATGAAAAACATAAAAAAGGCAACCAAAAGTTTATCACTTAATTAGGAATAAATAATAAAGGGAAAATAGCCTTGATCTTTACAATACAATTATAATTATACATACATGCTAGGAAAATATGTGATTACAAAATCTGGACTTATGCAGTTGAAACATATTTAATGCAGATTAAGTTTTAGTATATTGTGTTTATCTGTACTAAAATGGACAATAACTCGTAAAGACCTTTATTTACTATTTTACGACATTATCAATAATCCAGTGGTTACAGCGACTCTTTTTATTAGTATCTTTAACCTAAATAATGTTATCATTGTATTGTTATATTCTTTTGTTTTTATAGAATCTTACAAACTGTTTCACTTTCATTATTTCATTCCCAATGAATCTTTTCAACTAGTGACTTGTTCTAAAGCACACAGTCGTTCAACAATACATATAACAGTATAATTCAGCACAAACTTTATGGGGTAACTGGTGAATACTTTATATGATAATATACAGTCCTTATTTTAAACTATGCCTCTGGCAGATGTGTACGTGTTAAAAACTATACTGATTTAGACATTTTAATCAAGTGGAGAAGAGTCCCTCTTTGGTAATTGTTCACTTCACTGGTCTTTTATAGTTTGCTTCACAAAAGAACAACTTTTAGTATTCACATAAAAGTAAGAGTTTTCCATTCATTTATTACACTCTTCAATAGTGCTCAAATATGAAGTCCTGTATATTGTTCATAAAAATATTTTAGTTTCAAAAGCTCAAATTTATATTATAAAGTTCCAATGCCTTTTAACAACTGAAAATTAACCATTAGGTTATTTTAATTTCCTTGCTATGCATCAGCATACAATCTGACAATCTACACAAAATTTATTGAAGGGTCCAGGGCCAGCCTTAGTAGGATGTGGGCCTGAGGCAAGAACTCAGGATTAGGTTCTCGAGGTTGGATACTAGAAGTATACAATTGACTCGGCCACTGAGGCATAGGGCCTGAGGCAGTTGCTTCGCCCTAGAGGTGTGAACACATCAAGGGGTATTTTACCATGTGTTTGTGTAAAAGTGTAAATTTTTAAACACATTAAATGACTTAATGTATTTTTTTTAGCCTTTATGTTCCATGGAAAAATATTATAAAATTAATCTTTTGTGTGTACCTTTCTCTAAAATATTTAATTATGTGAAACCTTTTCTTACCGCTTAATTTTGAGATTCAACATTTTCTGTAATATTTCAATACATTAATTATACAAAAGCTTGAGATATAACTGAATAAGATCAAATATTAAAGTAAACTTGAAATCTCTCCAGTAGTATGTACAGCAGTTTTTTTGACAGCCCAATGCCAGTATAGCATCCTAGTTTGGAACTGTACAAGTCAAACAAAATGGTTACATGGCAGATGCTTTTAAGTACAGAAGTTTTTTGTGCAACTTGACAAGTAACATCTATAATGTAGTGTAATGCACTATGTTTTTCAAGTGCCCATGTTGAAACCATGGTTGGTGAATATTGTCTTTAATAATAGAACCTTACATGGAAATTGTTACTACATGAGAACTCATAACATTAAAGCACATATTATTTGTTTGCACATCTCTCTTTTTCAGCATGTTAACAGATTAATCACAGTCTTAGCTCTGTGTGGGTTTTTATATCAGGATTAACCATTTGCTTTTCTCATGACGAAATACTCTTTGTTAAAGATATTTTTATTTTACGGTTCAGAGGAAAAAATGTAATACAAGTACACTGACAAAGATGAAACATCTACTTTTATCAAAGTTAACTTTTAGATTTTTCCTTTTCTTTCTTTGCTGCTTCTGCTTTGGCCTCCTCTTCTTCATGTTGTTGGATCAATGGTTGTACATCATTCTGATTCAAAATACGGATCTTTGTCTTACCATTTTCTCTTGTTAAAGTGGCCATTTCCACTAGAGAAGAAAGTTGTTATTAAAAATTAATATTACTTTTGCAATAGTGCAAACAAAAAATATAGAAACATGAAATTAAATATAATTTTAAAAACTGTACTGCACTGTTTTATATAAAAAATCAGTTTCATTATCACATACTTCACCTAGCTGAAAATTATATTTCAAATACTGTCACTAGCAGTATGCTACGATCAGGCTTAATGAGAATTAAGTATCTGAAAACAGGCCGCATCTTAAAATTTATTGGTAAAATAATTTATTCTTTTCATATCATAGTAATTATTTTCCTTAGAGTAATCCATGAAATTTCTTAACACTTACACTTATCAGCTGTTAGTTTAGTCATATCCAGAGTCTTGCTGAAAACTTTAATAGCAAGAGCTAAAGCGTCTTTGAGTGTGGTTTTTCCTTCTTTGTATTCTTGCTTCAAGATAGACACTGCTGCCTGTATTTGAAATAAAAAGCAAATGTATTTAACAAAAAAATTATTTCTGCAATTAATATTATTGAAGTTTACTATTATTATTTTCAAATATCAAAGGAAATCTTTCAACATCATGGGCAATCGAAATCTGGAGGTTATGATGCAAATGGAAACACACAACAAATGTAATATTTCTTAACAAACTACTGTTTTCTTTTTTTAGTTTTATGAGCCTTTGGATTTTGTGCTCGTACATATAACATATTTACTTAAGACAGTAAAATAAATAAGTAAAAACAGATAGTTAACGTACTACCTGAAAATAAAAAGAACTTCTAATCCCTCATTTTTTACCTAACTTCAAAGGGTTTCTATCTCAACTACTTTAAAATATGACACTGAAAACAAACTAAAGTGCAAGTATTTTTATTACTAGCAGAAATGCTGCCCAAATATTGCATGGGAAAAGTGTTCGAACTGAGCTGATATATAAACTGTAATGTTTTTATATATTAAATGTGGTACCCTTTTATGAGACCTCCATTTTTAGTACAAATTACAACTATAAAGATATAAACATACAGTCCTAATGAAAGTCATGTTCTTGTTGTGAGGAAAGTACTTTAACTTAAAATTGTTTTTCTGTGACAAAGAAATGGTTGTTGCACATACCGTAGTTATTTTTCTAATTATCTGAATCTTGAATATCCAAAGTGAGAAACTTGTTTATGGTACCATTTAATAGATGGTGCCACATTGTATTTATTATTTCGGTCACACACATAGATAGATAAATACATATATACACGCTACGTCCATTATAATAAGATATATTTTTCTCACACAATTATGGATTCACATTGTTACTACAAAACATAAAAGTGATTTAAATGGTAAAAGTTGAGATACTAATTTACATATCAATCACGTAGGTATATATGCAATTTGTTTTGGTCACATACATAAATAGATAGATACATATATATATATATATATATATATGCTATGTTCATTGTAGTAAGATATAATTTTCTCATACTATTATGGATTCACATTGTTACTAAAGAAACATAAAAGCAAATTAAGTGGAAAAAGTTTAGGATGTTGAGATACTAATTTACATTTCAATCATATATATGCGGTATCTTTGCTGGCTTTGGAATTTTCACACAAAGCTACACAAAGGGCTATCTGTGCATAGCCATCTCTAATTTTGAAACAATACTTATAAAAAGAAGGCAACTAGCCTGCTGCATCCTCTGCTAAATACCTGACTGAATACTGGGATTTTACTCTAACTTTTATAACAAAATTTGTTTGTGGCAACAAGACACAAACCATGAATCTTCGGATCCACAGTCTGAGTACTCACCTCTAGGCCATGCATAGCCCTTTCTTTTTAGGGGTCATGAAATAGGCCTCTTTTTTTTATGGTTACAGAAGTAAAGGGCTAATAAGATAAGTATGATGGACAAACTACTTGACAAAAACATTTCCGTATGTTACACTATTGCCCAGTTTTCTTTCTCTCATTTGAAATATGGTGGAAAAATCTGATAGAGAATACCAGTTTATCCTTTGGGAATCCAATTCATATGTTACTCAGTTTCACTTCTCGGCTTGTATATATTATTTCAGTCACATACATATATACATGCTTCGTCCATTAGAGTAAGATTTCTTAAAACTATTTAATCATAAGTTTATTATGGAATATGCAATGCGGATGTGTATGTGGACAACAACTTACAGCACTGTTGTTGCCAATGCATGTAGCTTTCCATCCACCATAGTTGCCACTAGGATCAGACTGGTACAGCTGATATCCAAACTGTTTATCCCAACCCATGTACAGTATTGAAACTCCAAATGGTCTCTTTCCTATGTATGTATGTTAAAAAAATAAAAGACATAAAACATTTTTAAAACCATGTTTCATGGAATGAAATGTAAATAAATAAATAAGCTGCATAATCTTGGAATGGTTAGATATATCATGTTCACACTATTTAATACCACACTTCTGGACAGAGCAAGGTGACTAAACCCACCTCCATACTGGGTATAAGCTTGTTTCAGATCACATAACCAACTGACGAGTCTCTCACAGGGTATTGATTCACCAAACTGCAGCAAGTACCTGGGAGAAACGAAAATCATTAATGGTTTGTGATCTTCAACCTATAATATTCTGTACCTAATTACAGCTAAAGTAAACAATATAGTTTAGAAATTATCTCACTGAAACACAAACATTGGATAAAATGTCTAAAATTTAACGGTGAATAGTTTTTTTATAGTGAATTATAGCGTAAAATAAGGGTGGTACATTCTAGTAGTAAACATACATTAACACAGGTTTAAAATAAACCAAATCAACTTAATACTATATCTTTGGGTAATTTACATCATATTTCTCAGTAATAGAGGGATTCAAGTTAAAGCTGTACTTTTAAAAGCATTAGGTAAATTAGTTTACAATTAAGCAATTTTCCTGAAAAACCACACATTTCCAATTTTAAGAATTTTTGACAACTTAAACTTTGAAAAAGGAGAGGTGTACATAAAAG